CCAAATCAAATTGCTAAATACCGTCCTTATTACAAAGAATATCATTTATTATGATTCGATGCTGTGCGCTCACCTCAACAAATTCAAAGATGGAACCGCATTATACAAGCAGTGTATAAATTCGCTGACAAAGTTAATAGTGAAATACCTTTTCTTACTAAAAATTCTGATAAAGCATGTTTATCATTCCAAGTTAGGGGACCAGTTGTTTTCAAACAAATTCAACATTTGCCAGAAATTCGTACATCCAAATATATAGATTGGATAGAGGCTTTACATCATCAGACCAACCCTCTAGAAAAAGCCAAACAATGACGCATCAAGAACTGGCTCAGATGAGTCCGTAAAAGAAACAAAAAGAAAAAACAACTACCTGCTTTACCTTCTGGTTACCTAGGAGACCAAAAAATTTACTATAAAGATACGTATAATATTAACCTCTTTGATTACAAAGTTAGATGAAGATTTAACGTCAGTTCTATACCACAATATAATTACGGCTATAATCAAGCCATGGCCCTTTACCGAAAATATCATCCTCCTACGACCATCATACAAGACATCCCTATAACAGAAAATTCATTTTATGAAATATCAAAGAAAGATCGTAACATCCTCACGAATAACAAAGACTTATTCTTTAGACGTACTCTACCACCGGATACAAACTCAAATACCACAATGTCAGATATATCTTACATATCGGCTACCAAATGGGAGCCATCTGTTGAAGCGCCACCGATGCCTCAACATGATTAATACTTTTAATTTAATAAAGTACAACTCTGGACCTATAATGTTACACCATTCCGCACCTGACAGTATTTACATGCGGTGTCTTAATGACAAAAGAAAAATACGGGAATTAATTTGAGGTTGAACTAATTTTTTGTTTTTTTGTTCGCTTTTATTGTTTTGCCTTTTTCTTTTTTAGGAGATACTATTTTTCCTTTTATTTCCTTTATCAGTAGCGTAGTTTTACTGTTAGAGTAGTTCCACTTGGAGGGTGAGGTTGTGTATACAGGATTTTTTGTGTATACGCGATTTATAACTACACAACCCTTAATAGTATAGATATTCACTAGAAATAGTTGTCTTCTTCTATTATGTACTCGTTATTGGTTACTCCTCTCAAAATTATAATAAAATAAATAAATAAACTTTTGACCTTCCCAAGTCAAAATATTTCAACTTTTGGGTTTTAATTTCAACTTCATGTATAATTACAACTACTGTATAAGATTTTTATAGCCTTAATTAATTACGGCATATAAAAATTTTGTGTTATGGCACTTTTTTGAATTATGGCTAACATCTTTAGTCTGATCCAGCCCAGAAAATTTATTTTCGATTAAAGATACAGATTTATTATTTATGGCGCATTCAAGAATTTTTATTATACCAGAACTATTAGAACAGATTTTACATTTTTTGGTGATAGATAAATCCCTCTATTCCACTCTATTTGTTTCCCAATTATGGTACAGATGTGGCGCTCCTATTCTGTGGAAACAAGTTGAGCTAAAAGGAAATGACTTTTATCGTAAGCAATCTTTTTCAGATGATTATAATTACTGTAAAGATGATCGCTCTCAATTGAAGAAATTCATAAAATTAATACATGGAAAGCAAAAGCCAGTTTATAGTTCGAATATAACTCATCTTGAAATTTCATACTACCATTCACTTTGGGATGAAAAAATCATAGGTATTTTGAAATCATGTCCAAATATAATCCATTTAAGTTTCAAAAATAGCATAGGATTTAGTAGTAGAACGTTAGAACTGACATATCCAAATCTGAAGTATCTCAATTTGTGAGATAATCAATCAGGTGACTATAGGAGTTTTCGTACTCGAGAAGTGTATGACGGTCTATGGAGAATTACGCAGTCATGTCATAAATTAGAATATTCAAATATTGCCTATCGCACAGAGATTACTGAACTATCAATTTGCGGTATTATTCGTTCCTGCCCAAAGCTCCGGCATCTTGACATTACCTTTTGTGAAATTATTTCTGATATGACTATCAAAAAAATTGCTAGATCATGTCTTAATTTAAAATACCTCAATCTGAAGGGGTGTTATAATATTATCCACGTAGAGAATCTGTGGAAACTTTAACGCCTCCTGATCTCATTGGAGTGGTTAGAAATCATCTTACACAGAACAACGTTTCTAGTAGACAGATTTTAGCTCAGAGCCCTTAGATCTAAGTATGCGAGATAATTTGCAGTGGTATTCCGATCCATCCTGAGTGTTGATCAGATTTTTTTGCTGAGCCACAGATTGTGCGACAAAAAAATAAGTGGATCATCAGTCAGGTCTTGTGCGATATATTAAAATATACAAACTAACCAGTTCCTCTATTTTTTTCCCGAACAAACATGAGAAAAATGTGAAAGGGCGTCTAGTTGCAACACAGGGCCTACCATATAAGCAAATAGTGCTGACAAAAGCATATGTTGTGAAAGGCTGGGGGACTTGCAATTCCGAGATCTACAAGAACTAACTACCTTTGCGTCTCGCGGGTAGATCTCGATGTGAAAAGGTATGAAAATTTCGTTTTGCACGTGCCTTCATGGAACTCTTGGCATCATACAACAATACTAATTACGCCTCATACCTCCTTATCTTTTTCCTAGCAAGATATAAAGCATGTAGTGGTGTGTGAAGTTCAGCCAACTTTCCGCAAAAAACTTTTCCATATAAAATAACGCAAAATAAGGTATGTGCTGTATATACCAGATGTTATGTATGTATGGGAACGAGTTTTCCTCACTATGGTTTCTTGCATTTAGGAAACGAAAATGACTCACAAGAGTATTGTCAATCTTAAGTGTTGCTTCCAGGATGTGAGGATAAAATAACTTACATAATCTCACCCTGCAAGGAAGATAAGGTCGCTATTCTCGAATTTGCTGTTAAAACTCTATTAGCAAATCAAGGTTACCAAGCTCTCTCCCTCAACTTCGACCTCTACGTGAATGATCCTGAGAAAGACAAATCCATGGAATCAGCAGAATTCTTTTTCTACTTGCATCGATAAAAAAAAGTATGTAGAACAAGTCTTTCGTCTGATCCATCGCAACTTTACTAATTCTTCGTTTTCAGTGGAACATTTCTCCAGAAGACCACTTTCCAATTCCTCACCCAGCCCGATGTCGTATCTGCGATTAATTCTATAACTGCTGATAATATATTCGACTACTATCAGCAGAAAATGTCAAATAGCAAACTTTCGCAAGTATATCAAGTGATAGTCCAAGATTTGGAGGAAGTACTCGAATCAAATTTCTTTAAAGAAGATACGACGCGTGTTCTGAAGGACATTAAAGACACTTGGGTTGTAAGTAAACTATTTTATATATTATGCATTGGAGGATAGAGCCTCTCGTTTAGAAGAGGGCTTAAGTATCTGAAAGGAAGTAGGGACTGCGTGTCGCTTACTTCTGGCGTATGAGGACTGCGGTCGCTCATATGACCCTGATCGGTGGCAAACTTGGGGACTGCGGTCACTCAAGTTTGTAAGTCTGGGGACTGCGGTTGCTTGGACCTAAACCACTCCTCCCCAATCGTTTCGAGCTAATTCGTGTGAGTCTTCTAACTAATGCTATCTTTTCATTTTGAGACGTGGAAAAAACAACGCATTCGATTCTATAAAATGAAGAAGCGATCGACAAACAGAAGACCGGTCGCGAAGTTCAGTTTGTGAGTGCATATTTGTTGGATTCTTATTTTCTTACTATAGAAAATGAGCTCATTACAATCTCTGTTTTCTCTTTATAAGCAAGAGCGCGTCACGAAATATCAAAGAGGTATCGCTAAAGTTACCGACGTGGAAATTGATAAGTGGGTTGAAGAATCGGTAAACGTTGGTAAAGAAAAGGTAGGTCTTATCACGATCAGTTATAAGCTGAAGAATTTTTTTTTAATTGTGAATATGTTGCAGGGAGAACCTTCAGTCCGTAGATCGCCTCGACCGATGAAACGCGTAAATTATGCTGAAATGGATGGCTCAGACGAAGAGAACTATTTTGCTAAAATAAGCTTAAATAAACGCGTTTAAAGCATAATCTAAGCTCGTACTAATAAAATGCTAAACAAGCTTGAAGCTTTTGAAGCACATATTAAAAAGTTTGAAAAAGCTTGTGCTCAGATTCTGGTTAATGTGCTTTGTTGAAGCAATTTAACATCCCTAGTTTCTTATAACGGTCAAATGATTCTTTATCATAATTAAGCAATTTCTTTTGATAATAAGGCTATATTTAACCTGCCTATTTATTTTTACAATTGTAACAAATATTTTATTAATGCTTTAATTATTGCTAAACTTATACATTATTAAGGCAAATGCAGTAAACTATTAAAAGAAACGAATTTGATAAAATAAAGTGCTTCCGGGTGGCAGTATAAGATTATGAAGCCCATTAACCCATTAACTAATACTACATACAACAACCTAGTGATTAAAAATAAGAGACCATTTCTTAGAATTTCGTTTAGGCTTGTTATTAGAGTTCAGAGTTATCCCTTTTTTAGTCTTGCTCTTTGATCTCGGGGAGTCGAAAGCAACCACTTGATTTATTTTTTTCCGTGGAGGAGAAAATTCACAACTGTTCTATAAATTTTGAAGTTGATCGTCTGTATCTTCTTCATTCTCTGAATATTGTTTTTGCTCAACAAATTCGATTGTTTCCTTAACAATCATCTGTGAAATAACAAAAATTATTAGACCTAAGTGATTGTAAACTACAAGTGCTTAAACAAAAATACATACCTTTGCCTTCCACGCCAACATAATTACAGGAAGTACTTTAGCACCAAATTGTGCTATTTGTGAGGGGACTTCCAACATTTTTGTTCGAGTTATTCGGCATGTATAGCCAGCAGGGGAATCTAATCTGAGTAATAATATCATCAGACCTAAATTTCATTCACAGAGAAATGATAAAATAAGTCATTAAAACCAATATGTAATGTGAGGGACTCCATCATCAACACCTACTTGAGTGTATAAACCCGATAGATTGTAGTTTTCTTATCTTTTCCTCTTCATTTCCAACGGCTTCACACAAAGAATAAAATATATCCTTCATCATTTTCGGAGCTTTTATACCTCTTTCATGCAAAAGTTTCGTCCCATTGTTACCTTCGAAAGATTTGCCAGCCTCTGAACATCCGTACTCAGTAGAAACCTTTCGAATGATTAGATCTCCACGTCTTCCCATAATCTTTCTCTTCATTTTGACAATTGCAGATCCGGTTCGATTACGATTTTTCCTATTCGAGGATGCCCGGCTAGATGACTCCGACCTGATGCAAAAAAAGATGTGAGCCACTTATCATAGTAGAATGGTTAGTATTATCTTCCCTACCTTGCGGTTTCCAATCCATCGATATTCCCAAATCCTCTGTCTACAAAATTCCAAACATGAACCAAGAGCCACAATTCAAGATGATCCTTCTCTAAACTCCCCGCTTCATATTCATGTAACCTGTAGATCAAGATAGAAATTAATAATCCAGGAATAAAAAGAAATAATTTACTATTGGACAGAACCTACAAGTTGTACGCGGTATTTCGGATCCAATCATAATCAAAATGCGTTTGTCGATTGTATGGAGAATCCCATTGCTGAGATTTAAATATAGCATCTCTAAGACTTGAGATGTCAGACTAATTCAGGATGTACAAATAAGTAAATGATCATAATAGTATTATTAACAAGATATATAAAACTACCTACCACTCGAAAACTGTTAAGGTACGTTAATAAGTCTTGGGGGCATCTGTGGCATTGATATAAGTTTATATTTTCGAATTTCATCAAGTTCAGCCTCAGTAAAAACTTCTTCATTGATATAGATGTTATCATTTGGATCTATCACAAATGAATGACATAGGCTTTGGAAAGTCGCAAAATGTTAGATGTCAAATAATAGAACCTGAGCTTTGTCCAATACATAAAGGATACTTACTGTTCGTGCCTGCATTTAATACCGAAATTGTATAGAGCATCTTCTACTATCTTTCCCGTAGAAAGTTTCCATTTGTCCGAGTCATTCATTTTTAAGTATGTCTTTTCGAATTCAGTGAACTCTATCTTTGTCTTCTCTACAACATCACAGGACGAAGATTCTGAACTATAAACGTAGTCAACATCATCATTATTAACAGATTCCGTAGATTCCGGATCAGAGTAATATTCATTGGTTTCATCAGCCACCTTCATCTCCCTTGCAAATTCGTCGTAAATTGGCGAATCGCTCATAATACTCTCATTGTTACTTTTATCATCGTGAGCTGGGATCTAGATATTGAGAAGAAAAAGTTAATTTACTACGCATGATGGTTTGTTGCAGAACATACATTGAAAACATGGTGTCGTACCTCTCCATTAGTTTCTGGATTTCGTTGTTGTTCGGGTTCATCATTCTTGACTCTTTTCGATGGTGGTTGATTAAATACGTCTTTGTCTTTTGTATCTATTATCGGATCAGTTGAGGTAGTTCTCGTCTCTACCTCTATGTTGATTTTGTGCTTGGATTTACGTGATTCTAGCAGGTGGCTGGAATATATTATCTTCTCCTCCCTTACATCTTTATTTAGCGACGCATGATATTCGTGCTATGCAAATAGTTCGTATCGTTAGAGTAGAATACCAGAAAATTGATGTCATATTCCTGAGCTCACCTCTTCGATTTCTTCATTTTTTGCTAATTTATTAAGACTAGCCAACCATTCTCCTTCCATTTTTTTGTCAATCTCCAAAAGAATAAGCAAGGTAAGGATATTAGTTAACGGTTTAAATAAAAAATATATATATATATTAACAATCTAATGTGCGACGAGGAAACCCAGGGTGGCGCGAGGACACTCTGTATAGTATCGATGCTTTGTCTAATAGAGCACAATAGTAGCAACACGCCAAGGAAACCCAGAGTGGCGCGAGGACATTCCGTATAGTATTGACCTGGCTTAAGCCAAGCTGTGTTGTTGACAGGTTATGCTCATTTGCACAGAAAATATACTAACCTTGAACGATTTCTTTAGTGAAATTGCCTTTGAGCATTTCAAAGAGTCGTACTTTTGCTCGATAAAATCCAGACACTTCTTGTACTTGTAATTGTAGACTTTTACTGGGTTAGGTGGAAGCAACCTTTTGTTAAAAGTGTAGCGTATAAAGCTTGAGTAGGACCAACTATCAGTAGGATATTCGTCGAAATAATGTGAGTAAGGAATAAGTTTTTCTTTCGACATATTGATCAAAAAAAATGATAATCATTTTGACTTCGCATAAATAATCGTTACACTGATACTCACGCGACAGATAAACATCAGAAATTGTGCAGGGTGATGAATATGGGTCAGGAACAAATTTTTAGTGCCAGAAAACTACGACTGCCAGTAATGTTTTAAATATACTATGAGAAGGCTAACCCCGCTAAAAAGAAAATTATCTATATTTAATATTAACCTGAGAAGGACCAAGTTGGTCCACCAGTTATAACTGGCAGAAAAAATCCTGCTAATAAGCCCTGTTCATTTCTAGATCGGACCGGATTGATCGCAAATTTGTACCCCAAAATAATTGGTTACTGATGCGGTCAGCGGTCAGTCAAGCCGATCTACAAAAATTGGTGTTTTTCCCTGATCGATTTTATAATAAACATAATAAACAACAACTACGTGTTTTTGCCCTATAAGCTATTATGGATATATAAACCAATCCGATCAATCAAAATTGTGCTCAATTGTAACTATGATCTGATTGGTTATACATTTTTTCGGTCAATCCGATACGATCTAGAAATGAACAGGGCTATAATTATATTGTTCGCATCTATTATGTTACAGGTCGAACAGATGTCATTGTCACAAAATTTGCCTGGAATTTTTCTGGCAAATTGAGAATTATCCCGGTAAATTGAGGTAAATTGTGTTACAATTTTGGGATAATGGAGGTCTTACAATTTGGCAAATTTTGTCAAAATGACGACAATCCTACAGAATTCCTAATTCAAATGTTGAGAAATTTTTCAGAAATTTTAGTCAAATTTTTAGTAATTTTATGCAAACGTAACGTAATGCAAATTGTGGTGAATTTAGTCAAATTTTTAGTAAGATGTGTATAAGAGACAGATATTCATGTAACCTGTAGATCAAGATAGAAATTAATAATCCAGGAATAAAAAGAAATAATTTACTATTGGACAGAACCTACAAGTTGTACGCGGTATTTCGGATCCAATCATAATCAAAATGCGTTTGTCGATTGTATGGAGAATCCCATTGCTGAGATTTAAATATAGCATCTCTAAGACTTGAGATGTCAGACTAATTCAGGATGTACAAATAAGTAAATGATCATAATAGTATTATTAACAAGATATATAAAACTACCTACCACTCGAANTAATGTTATGTAAACGAAGTGCAAATTGTGGTGAATTTTTAGCAATATTAGGCCAATGTTATGTAAATTGTGATGAATTTTTTGTAATGATACGTAAATTGCAAATTTGAAATAAAAATTTTTTATTATTGCACAATTTACCGGGAAAATTCTGGTAAATTGTGCATTTTTTTTGTCAAATTTTAGAAAAATGGACCATTTTACCAAAATTCAACTTTCAAATGCTAGAAAAATTTTAACAATTTTAGACAATTGGGCGACAATGGTTTGACAATTTTTGAACAATTGAGTGCAAATGCAATATTTTTAAGACAATTTCTGACGATTGAGTGATAATTAAGCAACAATTTGGCATAATTTTATGCAAATTTTATAACAATTTATTATGATTTTAATTTTATTAACAATTTATTTAATTCTTCAATTATAATATGTAATTAAGTACAATAATGTTAAAGAAAAACAAATATAAAAAAACAAAAAGTTTCAAAGGTTAATCTTTGAAACTAACCAAGCAAGGAGCCAAAGAACTGTTTACTTTTGTTATTTCATTACAATAATCTACAAAAAAAGAAAACCGTTCAGTTAGAACGTTTCTTAAAGAAAAAACAGTATCGTAATAAAATGTACGAAACTTACCAAGCCATATCCAATACCTGAACGGAAAGTAATGGCTTCTATTCAACAATGATTTTATGCGATTCATGTTTTCTAAGTTAGCTTCCCAGATATCCTGAACCTACAAAAAAGAAAAGGAACGTTAGTAAATGGTTCCTAATAAAAAAAATCAAAAAAAACTTGTTTCGTGATATTTGTCACGAAACTCACCATTTAAACTGAAGTTTCAAAGTTATACTTCGAAACCTAAACATTATCCAAACCCAAGACTGAAACTGGAGGGAGGGAACTAAACATGGGGCCCGAAACCGAAACCTCCTGAAACCCTTTAAGTTTCGGTATATACCGAAACTTAGTTTCGGGATGTGCATTTTTTTTCCGAAACTCGAAACCTGAAATTGACCCAAAACTCCTGAAACTTTTATATACGAAATATAACCGAAAGTCTGAAACCTATTAGTTTACTTAATTTATTTTTATTAACAATTAATTAAAATTATAACAATATTGTACTAATTTAACTGTTAAACTTTATTATGTAAAATTATATTAATAAAATTATATATAATTATATATTAACTATGAATTAAAATTTTGAACTAATAAATCTGGATCAAAATCAACTTCCTCGTCTAGTTCTTGAATAAAATCATTGAGTCCATCTAGTTCTAATTGCTTATCCGTTATATTATTTGATTTATCCTTAAACATTGAATCTAAATCAAGTACATTTAAAATTTCCAAATCTTGAGACGGAACCTGTTCACAATCATCATTAATAGGTGGGCTTGACACTAACTTTATCATTTCCTCTTCGTTATAATCATCAACATATTCATCATCATCATCACAAAGATGGGCATCACTTAAAATTGTACGAAGTTCCTCAGCAGTTCGATCTTTACTAAAATTAG